TCACCTGGAGGGGGGACACACAACCAGGACGTCACAGGTGTACCCCCCCTAAGCTGTGCAAGGCCTTCGCCGATGCGGTGCTCAGGAGCATTCAGGAACAAGAGAGTCTCCTCACCATTGAGGAGATGGCGGAAGTCTGCTCACAAGATCTTGGGGTGTGCCGGGTCGGGGTCGAGGCTTTCCCCAGTCAGGCTGAGTCTTCGGAGCAGCTTCCGGAGCAGGGGGGGGGCGCGGAAGGTGAGGCCGAGGAGCCCGCTCTCCAGGAGGTTCCTGGAGAGCGCGAAGTGTAGATAACCGCGCCCATGAAGCGGCTGATTCACAAAGTTCACGTGAATCTGGGACATCCTCGCAAAGAGATCTTTCTCAAGGTCCTGCGTGCTGCACACGCTCGTCCTGAGGTTATTCGATTCGTCCGAGACGAGTATGAGTATGCCGACTGCCATGCCCAAGTTGAGCCCGCCGGGCATCGCTCAGTGGCCATGCCAAGTACTTTCCAGTTTAACAGGGTGATGGCTGTCGATACTTTCTACGTTAATTTTGAAGAGAAATCGATTCCAGTGCTGAATTGTGCCACGGCACGAATCTCCAGATTGTGGAAGTTTTCGACGGGACCTCCGAGGGGGCGTGGAGGGCTTTTCTCAGGGCCTGGATCAGGCCTTTCGGACCTCCAGAAATGGTGCTCTCGGATGGGGGACCCGAGTTCAAGGGCCATTTCGAGAGAGGCCTTGAGCATCTCGGCGTCTTCCAGCGCGTGATAGACGCCGAGAGTCCCTGGGAAAATGGGCGTGTTGAGCGCCACGGGGGGTGGGTGAAACAGATTTTGCTTAGGGCCTCCGAGAGCAGTCTCATCACCACCCGAGCCGAGTTAGAATCCCTTCTCCACGAGGTCGTGGCAGCCAAGCACCGCTACCTCCACAGTGGAGGTTACGCCCCCTTTCAACTCGTTTATGGGGTCAACCCAAGACTCCCCAATATGATATGTTGTCAGATGATGGCGTGAGACAGGTGGGGGAGGGGGACCTTGTTCAGACGGCATGGGACCAGGACACGGCGGCCGCGGATTGCGCCAGGCAGCGCGCTATCCGGGATCTGGCTCGACAGGGGCGCTTCCGCTCCTCAAGTAGGCGGAAGCTGGCGGAAGCCTCAGGGTAATGTCCACAGAGACGCTAAGGTCTATCCAGGGCAGTGGGTTTTTGTCTGGCGCCGAGCCCCGACCTCTGGGAAGAAAACGTACGCGCTCCAGCGTGACCGTTGGGTCGGACCTGGGCTGGTGCTTCTTCAGTCCGGAGGGGCCGTGTGGGTTGCCGTGAGGAGTCGCTTGTGGAAGTGCTCATCTGAGCAAGTAAGGCTTGCGACGTCACCAGAGGCTCAGGGCGCTGAAGTAATGTCTGACCCCGGGGTCCAGAAACTTCTTCGAGAGGCCCAAGTGGGCCGCGCGTGCGTGGGGATCAACGTGGCGGCCGAAGGACCGCCACCTCGTGAGGCCTGGGAACCAGGACACGGTGTGGAAGTGGAAGCCTCACCCATTCAGGCTCCGCTTCCTCCTCCCGCCAGGTCTCGGGCTCCTGGGGGCAACGTTCAGCGGCCGGTTTCACCTCCCGGGTTGTCGCCCATCTCAGAGGAAGAAGTCGCTGACGCCACGGGTTCAGGTCCAGGGAGCGATTGCAGGCCACCTACGGATTTATCTCGCTCTAGGCAGGTCAGTACCGAGGGAGGGGGCGAAGAAGAAGAGTCACGACCGCACAAGTATATTCAAGTTGATCCGGAAGGGGCTGCCTTGCTCCCTCCGCTCTCGAGCGGTCCAGTGCAGGGTCAGTCTTCCAACTCCTCTTCCTCTCAGCCTCTCCCACTCCAACAGGCTCCAGAAGGAGGGCGGCTGGATGCCGAGCCTCAGCAGGCGTCCGTCATCGCTGATCCGGCAGCAGACTCCCGCATGGACGAGAGCCGTAGTGCCGGACAAGTCCCGGGTGATGGTGCACCCAGTGGGGAGTCCAGTGTGCCAAGGCCGATTATGGATGGAACGGTTCTTCGGAACGAGATATTAGACTTGGGCATGAAACGTCAGGGTCAGCGTTTTTCGGTCACCAGGGGAGAGGACTTCAGAGGGGTCCCACCGGGGCGTGTTCGGACCCAGGTCCAAGAGCTGGAAGGTCGGCCGGCATCCAGGCCAGTGAGGCGCTCCAGGTCCCCTCCCCTTGAGCGGCCCCCGGGGTCCGCCATGGAAGACGTTTCCATGCCAGGCTTTCTTGAGATGAATGGCGCGAAGATAGATGCGCTTCTGGAAATGAGTGATGAGGAACTCGTGTCGTATATCAATGCCGTGGAAAGAGCTTTAGACGAGGAGGGGTGGAGTGGCACCTGGGCTCAGTATCACGACGGCAATGCCAACTGTGAAGTTCTGCCCGGAGACTCGGGTGGCTTTTCTCTCTCCCTGTTAGCTAATCGAGGGTGCGAGGTTCGTCTCAAAGACCTCGCGCCCGAGGAGAAGAGGGAATTCGCCTCTTCCGACTTGCAGGAGTGGGAGGGGATCGTTGCTACCAAGTCCGTGAAAGTTAACGCTCCGGCCGAGGGGCGTCAACTTAGGCAGCTGTTTCCCAATCGGGTCGTCTCGAGCTGGATGGTCCGCCGCTGGAAACCCCAAGGCAGTGTCGGGGCTCGACCTAAGGCGAAGTCGCGCTGGTGCGTGAGGGGACACCAAGATGAGGACACCGCTGAACTCCAAGTTTACGCCCCTGCGCCATCCATGGAATCTCTCATGCTGTTTCTGGCCATATCTCTCATGTATGGCTTAGAGGTCCATATAGGCGACATGGAGAACGCTTTTTGTCAGTCCGATCCGCTTAAGCGGCCGGGGGGCGGGTTTTTGTGGAGCCCTGCGAGGGTTTGAACCTTCTGGCCGGAGCTCTCATTGAGCTCATTGCTCCTGTGTGTGGGCTCGATGACGCCCCTCTCGCGTTTCATGAGACGTCGGCCAGGTTTCTGGAGGGGCAAGGCTTCACGAGGGCCAAGTTGGAGCCCTGCTGGTTTTCCCAGAAGGAGAATGGTCGCCTAGTCGCGCAGGTGCTGCTGGAGGTTGACGACTGGGCTATCGCTTTCCCTCTGGGTCAACAGAACAAGTATTTGATCGAGTTTAAGGAGCGTTTCACGTTCGGAAAAATGGATGAACTCGATGAGGCCGGAGTTGAGTATATCGGTCGAAGGCTTCGACTCGTGGGGCACGGTGCCGCCGCGCCGCGTATTCTTGTGGACCAGGAAAAATACATTCGCGAGCAGGTCCGCAAGATACCGCTGTCAAGGGGGCGTCGTGGGGATCACTCCAGTCCCCTGGTTGGGACTGAGGTGGCGGAGTTCCGAAGCCTGGTGTACAAGTTGAACTGGGTTGGACGGGGGTCCCGTGCTGAGGCTGCCGGCTGCGCGTCCATTCTAGCGACCAAAGTGAACTCACCATGCGTCAGAGACCTGGCCGAGGCACATAAGATGGTGGATCACTTCAGGTCCACGGCCAGCATGCCCGTGATAATTCACAAGTTCGACCCCTCCCGCTGCATATTCGCGACGGCCAGCGACTGCGGAGGAGTCGGCTCGGATGACTGCATGTTCCCACAACAAGCATGGCAGGTCTATTTAGCAGACAATGCTTTAGCGCGCGGTCAACGTGCAAGGGCCACCCCCCATAGCTTGGAGATCGTGCCGAGTCAAGCGCCAGGTGGCGAGCACTCTCGCAGGAGAGACGCTGGCGCTTTCCGGAGCTCTTGCTGAAGCTCAGTGGCTTCATCTTATGTTCGAGGATGTTGTGAGAGGGAATGTGGTGTCAGAAGCCTGGCAGGGGAAAGTCGGCCCCTTTGCGGCCATTTTGAAGGAAGACTGCCAGCTGGTCGCTCACTCGCCCTCGGAGTGTGTCAGCATTGTCGACGCCAAGGGGATATATGATACCCTCAGCAAGTTATCAAATGGTTCTCGATCCGATCGTCGGGCCGCGATCGACCTCGCGGTCGTTCGGGATATCATGCAAAAGGTCGGGAGCGTGATTCGTTGGATGCCGCGCCCGTTACTTCCGGTCGATTGCATGACGAAATCGGACCTTGCCACAACCAGCGCGGCTCAATATGAGGTGCTCCGTTCTGGGTGTTTGCGTCTCTCGGCGGAAAGCGGGGCCCTCGAGGGCCGGCGCGAGGACCCCCGTAAGAAAGGCCGCTCCAGAGCCGAATCCCGGAGGCAACTCCAGCAGCAGGAGAACGATGGCAAGGCCAGTGCTGTTCAGCTCTCCCATGCCGAGTGACAGTCGTCACAGTCTGGCGGGACATGGCCGGTGCACGTCTCTCGAGGGTCGTCAGGGCCGAGCGAGATATAAGTGACCAGCCAGGCCGGAGCGAAGTCGTCAGGACTCGCTACGGCACGACGGCAGCAGCAGTATTTACACAAATGGCACTAGAGTGCCCATTCCTCTCTCCAAGATGGTGCGATCCATTGGCTCGGAGGAGGGCCACGGTGCCTTCGCGACCTATCAAGCTCACTGTTTGTCGGGGTACTGTGTGATTTGAGTCTAGAGGCCTGTGGTTTTCAAGGCCGATGCCCCTGCTAGACTCCCTGAGCTTGAAGGTCACGAGCATGGGTCGTCACCATTTTGGCTCAAGACCCAACTTCTACTCATTCCTCATCACTCATACCATATCCACCCTACTCCTCTTCCTTTCCCATACCGTTCCGTGCCTTGTTTGCACAGCGCTGGAAGTTGTGTACTGAAAAGAGAGTGCGAGGGTTCTCTTGCTGGAGAAAGGATCCGACACTTTGGCTTCGCTGCTGTCGTCCGTCGGGCGACAGGAGGAGGAGGAGGAGGAGGAGGAGGAGGAGGAGGAGGAGGAGGAGGAGGAGAGGAGGAGGAGGAGGAGGAGGAGGAGGAGGAGGAGGAGAGGAGGGAGGAGGAGGAGGACGAGGAGGAGGAGGAGGAGGAGGAGGAGGAGGAGGAGGAGGAGGAGGGGAGGAGGAGGATGGAGGAGGAGGGGCCCCCCCCTATCGTTGCCCCCCCCTCCACGGGCTCCACGGGCGACGCGAGCGGCGGGGACGTGTGGCTGGACGACTGGTGCGCTTCCGCGGCGTCGGAGGAGGGAGCGCCCCCCGCGCCGCGGCCCGCCGGGCCTCGCGCTCTCCCCCCCCCCCCGGGGGGCTCCCGCGGCTCCTCCCTTTCGCCCTCCACTCGTCGGGGGCGGCCAAGAGGGGGGTGCGAGGAGGAGAAGGAGGAGGAGGAGGAGGAGGAGGAGGAGGAGTAGGAGGAGGAGGAGGAGGAGGAGGAGGAGGGGAGGAGGAGGAGGAGGAGGAGGAGGAGGAGGAGGAGGAGGGGAGGAGGAGGAGGAGGAGGAGGAGGAGGAGGAGGAGGAAGGAGGAGGAGGAGGAGGAGGAGGAGGAGGAGGAGGAGGAGGAGGAGGAGGAGGAGGGAGGAGGGGAGGAGGAGGGGGAGGAGGAGGAGGAGGAGGGAGGAGGAGGAGGAGGAGGGAGGAGGAGATGGAGGAGGAGGAGGAGGAGAAGGCGGAGGCGGAGGCGGAGGCGGAGGCGGAGGATGCGGAGGATGCGGAGGATGCGGAGGAGGCGGAGGAGGCGGAGGAGGAGGCGGGGGGGGGTTGGATCTCGTGGCCTGGGCCACGACAGTTCCCCAGGCTTCAAGGCGCCTCTTCTCATCTCGGTACGTGCCACGCCCCCCCCGCCCCAGGCCGCGCACATGCCGCCGGTCATGATTTTCGGCCCTCCTCTTGGACGCCCCCCTCTTGGCCGCCCCCGAGCGGCTTCTCCCTCTCGCCCTCCACTCGGGGGGGGCAACGTCCAGGAGGGAACAGGCATTTTCGTCGGCGGCGAGGCTGAGGTTACAGCACCAGCGAGTGAGCTAAACGGGGGCGCCGTTGTAGCGAATTGGCCAGCATGCACGGGCGGGAAAACTGGACAGAGGAGGGAACAGACACAGGCACAGAAAGATTCGGCTGCGAGCGATCGGGGGGACGTGAGAGGGAGAGGGCCCTCTCAGAAGGCGGCGGGGCTTCTCAGAGGCCCTCGCGCCTTCGGGGAAGGCTCAGAAAACTTCTCAGAAGGCTGGGGGAAATCCCCACCCCGGGCTCGCCGCCGACAGATAAACACTGATTCCCAGGGAAGTATATTGGGAAAGGCGGGGAAATGGAGGGGAAGACGAAACTCCCAAAGATGCGGGGGAATTCGGGGAACCCTGAACTTGTCAGCCTCTGTGTATTGGAGTGTCCCGGAGCCCCTGCACACGCTTGGGGGGGACGGGCTCCGGGAGGGAGTGCACCGACCCTGGATCGCCCAGCCATCGCCAGTAGGGGCCCGATGCCCCTCCCCGTCCCGGAATGTGCGGTTTGGCGATCGAGAGTCTGTCGCCGACCTATCGGTGATGCGTTGCCGACTCCGGGTCGATGTTGCCCCCTCTGGGCCAGTACCCCCGTATGGCAACCCCTCATCCACGAGGGAGGCAGGTCGGCGGCTGTCTTCTGTCGTCACGCCCCCTGGCCCACCTCTCGTTCTTGCAGATGCTTCGGGCCACGCCCCCTCATTCGGCGCACCCGACAAGGGGGGGGGGCAAAGGGGGAGGTTCGGACGTAGTGGCCGTAGCGAGGGTCTCCAAAAGGACGATGAGGAGGACGTCGAGGAGGAGGAGGGCCCCAGCTGCTGCATCTGCCTGGAGTCGTTGGCGGCCCCGTCCGAGTACGTCGCGGAGGGGGCCGCGGGCGCGGACGAGTCCCGCGAGGTCCTGAGGCGGGGCGCCACGAATCTGTGCACCGCGCTCCTCTCCTTTCCTCTCCCTCCTCCTCCTCGTCCTCCTCCTCCTCGTCCTCCTCCTCCGCCTCCTTCTCCTCCTCCTCCTCCTCCTCGTCGTCCTCCTCCTCCTCCCGCTACTCGAACAGTAGTTCCTCTGCCCTGCCTGCTTCTCGCCCTGTCCTTGCCGCTGCCGTGTTGGCGCGAAGATCCTTTGCCTCTCCCGTTTTACGTCGTGGGACTTGCTTTGCACGTTATACATCGGTGTACGGAAACATCGTTTCCGGTATTGCATCATCAGTTCTAATTGCTAGCTGAGCAGGTTCGCCCCTGTTCCAATACCACGGCAGCCATGTCCCGCTTTGCCTCGGTGGCCAGGGCTCCCACCCTCCGCCGTTCTCCATCGTGACGTTTGCAGGATACGTTACTTATGGGTACGTCAGGCCCGGATCAACCCATCCGCAGGAACACCACGTCGTGCCGCCCCACATGCCGTTCTACTGCTCTGCATCCGCCTTCAACTTCATTGCCTTCGTGCAACTTTTCCCGCTCGCTGCGGCATGATACGTTACTCTAAGGTCCGTCGGGGCACCCGCCCACCCGCCAGGACCAATGGCCGAAAACGTGCACGACCAGTTTTTCATCAAGGGCAACGCCACCAAAATCTACCAGGACTGCTCTGCGACCCATCCCAGGCATGCTCGGACTGTGTCCAGGCAGGTCGCGGACCCCAAACTGTCAGTGCTCTCCCCCGTGGGGGTAGCTTCAGGTGTTAGACCGTTGCTCGACACAATGTTTACATCTGCGGTTTCAGAACAACGCCCCTGGGATGAGGTTGTGTCGATGGTGCCGAGCGGGGGTGCAGTGGGGAGTCTGTGAACTGTGTTCCCACCCCCCCGAAAAACTGCAGTGGAGGGCGTAACGACTGGGACGCCATTATTCCGACCAGACCCGCAAGCCGGGACGGGATCCCGATGCGCACTCATCCAGGCGATCGTGTAATTGGCGGTGTTCAGTACAGTGACCGCGCTACGTGCCAAGAGCATTCCCGTGACTGTGTCGCGGGATGTTCCGAGTGCCGTGAGCATTACAGCGGCGCGACAGAAGCTTGCGCCTAATGCGCTGACGAGGAAGAACACATCCGGGGCAAGTCTCCCTGGCGTCTCATGCAACGCCGCTTGACAGTCCCCGGCCTCCAGCATCTCTACGCCCTGTGGAGGGGCCTGCATTCCTGATGGAAGGCCATCGGAGTCGGCGTGTGTGCCATAGCGAGCTGCATCGACCTGCGTGGACGCACGTGGTGGCAGCGGCAACATGTGCCACCCCCGCACGTGGCGGCCCAAGCACGAGACTCGCGTGTCTTTCCAAACATGGATGCGCGTGGTGATGATTTGGTCAGTGGCGAACTCAGACCTCGACGAGTTTCGCCAGGCGGCGTACGTCTCGTCGCCCCATGCCGGTATGGCGCGAGAGCACGTGGGCGAATGGCCGCCAGCTGTCCAGATCCAGGGAGATCTCATCGACGGCGACCCAGTGCCACCGATGATTGTCTTCGTGCACATCTTGGTCGAGCGATGGGGCCAGCTGGGCGAGGAGGAGCTTGCCTCGGCAGTATTGGCTCTGATGAACGTCAACCGACTGCCGCAGGAGCGCATCGACCACCTCCCAACGAAGTTCGACATTCTCCGCAAGCGGACGCAGCAAGCTGGCCAACTCATGGTCGGCTGCGAGGGCTCAGCTTCCTCCTGCTGGGCGCCGTTGGCGCGTCGAACATTCAACTCGCCATGCTCCGATTGCGCTGCAATGTGGCCAACCCCGCGAACGCTTAGCTGCGCGCCCAGATCTCGTTCCAGCTGAGACGCTTTTTTGCGCAAAATCGAGGGGTCGCCAGGCAGCGTCGCCTCGGCGGCCCACTCTGCCCAACAGCGCGCGTTCCTCACGGGCGCGCCCGCGCGCGAGCAGAGCTGGGGCGGCATGGGTTTTTCCGCGCTGGGATCGGCGCCGAGCTCCCTCGTGCCGGCCGAGGCCGTGTCTGAAGGCTGCGCCACTAGCGCGGCACCGCTGGCGCGGGGTGCGTGCCCAGCAGCAGAGGTCGACTCAGGCGCAGACGCCGACGCCGCCAGCTCGTTCGGCGAGGAGATAGCCGCAGACGACCCAGAGCTACGCGACGTCAGCGTGGTGCGCGCCTCCTCTGGGGCTGGCGCAGCGTTGGCGGCCGCGAGCCCGCGCGCGAAGCTCGGGGGGCCATCGAACCGAAGAGGCGACGGCGAAGGTCAAATGTGCCGCGCTTCCCTAGCTCCCCAGTCCGGGAACGACCTCCGGGAGGCCTTCGCGGGCATTGGGAAGGGCAGAGGTAAGGGGGGGGGGTCAGGGCCTCGGGCGTGGGTTCGGGCCGCCGAGGCAGCCCAGCGGGCCCGGGCGGGGTGCGTCTCGCGCGCCGCGAGTGCGACTCAGGGTCGCGCCCCGTGCGCGACTGCCCGCGGCGCCGCCGGCGCGGGCGCGCTATCCTCCTCGACGCCTACACCCCAGCGCCGCAATGAGCACCATCATCCTCGCCACTTGCTCCTTTGGGACAGCGTGGGCCGCCGGGGCCGACCGAGCAGCGCCCCGTGCCCTGGGCATGCGCTGTCTGGATGGCCCGGGGCGCCTCGGGGACTCTTGGGCCTGTGGCCGGGGGCGCCAGGAATAGCGATCCATTGCAGAGCGCTGACGCCGTGGAACGGCAGACAGCCAACTCCGGCAGCGCCCGCGCCGCGGCCATCGGCGCCAGCGACTGCACTTTGTTCAACTCATTGCTAGTGGCCAGCTTTCGTAGGGGCAGAGCCATCGGCCTCGCCCTCTCCACGCGGAGCCGAGTAGCGACGACTGCCCCGGGAGACGGCCACTGCAGCCCCGGCGGCCCCGGTCACTGCGTCGCCGGGCAGTCAGGCAGCAGCGGGGGAAGCGCCGCCAGCCGCGCCGGCCTCGCAATCGCCGACATTACCGGCAGCTCCCGCAACCTCGGCGACACCGCCGCCGCTGGCAACGCGACGGTGGTGGACGCAATTCAGCGGTGAATTTCCTGCGGGGCAAACTCATGCGCGCGACTGGATGGGCGACCTTAGCGCTCGAGTCGCCACGCATCCGACCCAGTCTGCCAACGTGCACCTGCCGAGCTGAGCTTGCATGCCTTCAGTCTTAGCCCTCGGCATCGACGCCTTGCGGATCGATCTCCGCGTGGCCGCTCATGGCCTCTGTCCGATCAGAACTGCCCCGTCGACGTGAGCCAACCGTCCGGGAGAGTGGCCATGCGGTTCGCTGGCCGTGTTGCTTGCGGTTCCGGCGGCGGCCGATCCGAGCGCGACGTGTGCGCCGCCCTGGGCCGCGCGCAACGAATGTCCCTCGGCGAGCTCCGCAGCGCGCAGCTGGCGCTGAAGCTCGCGCGGCAGCAAGATGAGCAACGATGCCAGGCCGCGCAGCGTTGGACGGAGACATTTGTTGATCGTCCTCCCGCGCCAGCCGCTGCGCCGACTTCTCCGCCCCCCGTCAGTGACGACGTTCAGCGGCGACGACAGGGGGTGTCCCACCTGCTTGGGGTCCTTCCAGCACTGCGAGTGGGTGGTGCGTCCGCAGTGTTACCACATCCTTGGGCCAGCATGCCACCTGCAATTTTTGCTGAGCATAGACGCCCGCTAAGTGTACTGCGTCGTGCCGAGTTCTGCTTCTTTGGTCTGGATCGCGCACCGACGGTTCTGCTGATTGCACCAGGCCATGCGGCAGCAGACAGTGCACCCTTGGTTCCAGCGTATGTTGCTGGCCCGCGCAGCGTCGGACAGCGGCGTGCCAGTGGAGACTGCGCCGCAGCAGGAGCTCGTGCAGTGTTCCCACTCGGTTCGCGCCCCCGTGGCGCCTCGGCCATGCTTCATGGGGGCGCCGGGCAGTGCGTCCAGCTTCTCGCCCGCAGCGGACGCGGCGGTGCCGTGCGATGCCCGGCTGGACATGCGCATGCCGCCCGGCAGGCCGACGTTCCAGTGGTGGCCGACCTCGTCGGGTGCAGGCTCGCGTCCGCCTAGCGACCCGCCGTGCTACCTGTCCAGCGCCGACCTCCGGGGTGACCAGTTAGGCGTCGTCTTTGACGCCGCCGCCTGGGCCAAACTCCAGGGGCTGCGTTTCGCCGCGAATTTGGTGCCCAAGGCCTAACGAACCCAAACTGCAGCCCTCCGAGGAGAAGTTGTCGTTTCCATCCTGCGTCGCAGGGGTCGGCGACGGGTCGCGGGCGGCCCCGTACTGCCCGCCACTTCGTGGCCAGTCAGCGCAGCATGCGCGCCCCAGCTGTGGAGGGTGCGGGAGCTGACCGCCCTGCCCCGTTAGTTCTGCAATCCATGTGGTCCAACGACGGGACGTTGGAAACCGGCGCGGGCCACGGGCGCCTCCCGTCTCCCAGGCCAGGTGGCTACGAGATCACATGGGGCCCCGGCCTGGTCCACTTCGTCCTCGCGTCGGCGCCGAATGGCGATTTGTGCGTCCCGGTCGACGACCGCGACGTGCTCGAGCCGCACTCTGGGGGCCTGCCGCCCAGGGGGATTGCGCTGCTGACGGTGGGCAACGACGACCAGGATTCCGACGCCACCGACGGCGGCGAGTGCCAGAAGTTGAACGTCCAGCTCCTCAGCCCCAACGCGCGGGCACCCTCGCGGGGCGCGCCTGGGGCTGCGGGCTGCGACCTCTGCGCGTGCGCGGACGTCAGTATCGCGACCTGTGGTCGTGAACAGGTGTCCGCGGGCATGGCGGCCCTTGCGCCGCCGGGCATCTACCTGCGCATCGCCGCCCGCTCAGGACCCCCCTTCGAAGGGATCGACGGCGCGGGCTGCGTGGTGGGCCCCGACTTCCGCGGCGAGATCAAGATGATCATGTCCAACGCATGCCCGCGGGCGCACGCGGTCGCGCAGGGCCGCCGCGCCCCCGGACATATTTAGGAGTTCATCGTCGGCGATTCCCGGATCGTGGTTCCTAATCTTCTCTCGACTCTCTCGGATCTGGAGGCTCGGGGCGCGCCGGCTTGACGCGTTCCTCAGCCGACGCTCCACCGAAATAGAGCGAGGTCGCGCATGCGCGGGGCCGTGGTAGCTGTCGTGTGGCTCTTTGGGAGGGTATTGGAGCTCTCTCGGGGCTCTTTTAGGGGTCTTGGGGCCCTCTTGGGGCCCTCTTGGGGCCCTCTTGGGAGCCCTGGAAGGCCTCTTGGGGCCATATTGAAGGCTATCAATCAAGGGAGGAGATGGTATAATTAACGTTCAGCCCCCCTCAAATAGGCCAGAATGACGCCCAAACATCAGGACAACCAATGATCTTGGCGCCCATAGGTCTGGTGGGCTAACGTTCAGCCCCCCCCCCCAAAGAGGCCAAAATGGTGCCCAAATCTTCGTAAAACCAATGACTTTGGCGCCCAGAGGGCGGGTGACACATTTTTCAGCCCCCCCCAAAGAGGTCAAAATGTTGCCAAAACCTAGGCAAAACCAATGATTTTGGCTTCCTCGCCGAGGCCGTTTTGGACGCCCTGACACTTCGCGGGGGGGCCTGAAGACGTCCAGGGGAGGGGTAGGGGGAGGGGTAAACTCTTCTGTGTAGGGGAAGAGGGTTTTTTTGTAAGAGGGAAAAGGATTCTCGTTAGACCACCTGCGCCCAGAAGGCTGGTGGTGAGGACTCTTGAGTTATATTCCCATTATGAGAATTTTTCAGTAAGCTTCCCTTAGTGAGGAAGTGAGGGCTCTTGTGTTAGATTCCCATCGTAAAGCTTCTATACTCGGGTGCTCTTAGGAAGGGCTCTTGAGTAAGAGTCCCGCAGTATATCTATATATATTCGTCAATCATATGTTTGTAGTAAGGACTCTTGAGTAATAATCCAATTGTCAGGATTCATAATTCGGTTTTCCGAGTAAGGACTCTTGAGTAATATTCCCGCAGTAAGGTTCTTTATTCAGGTTCTCTTAGTTCGCATTATTTAGTCAGGGTTTCTTAGTGAGGATTCTGGACTGAGGTTTCCCAGTGAGGATTATGTACTAAGGGCTTCTCATAACAAAAAAAGGATCTGACCCAGATTCTCTTTGTCAGGGTTCCTGGCTAAAAGAAGGCTCCTTAGTAGGGATTCCTCACTATGGGTTTAGTAGATGCCGAGCTTGCGTGGGAGCCACATGGTGCTTGTAGGCGCCTTAGCCTCGTCGATGGGATCTGGCAATCGAATGCATTCCCGTTGGAGGCCGGCCCGGAAACCTGTGCGATGCGATGCGGTGCTCCGCCCCCCCCCTTCCCCACAGGGGGCGTCAGAAACGTGGCGTATTTTCTGTGGGGAGCGACGGGGAAGCTCGCCCCATTGGAAGGGGCCCAGAAAGCCGGCGTTCCCTTGTTGTTGTTGTTGTTGTTGTTGTTGCTGTTGCTGCTGTTGTTGTTGTTGTTGTTGTTGTTGTTGTTGTTGATGTTGTTGATGTTGTTGTTGTTGTTGTTGTTGTTGCTGCTGTTGTTCTTGTTGTTGTTGTTGTTGTTGTTGTTGTTGTTGTTGTTGTTGTTGTTGTTGTTGTTGTTGTTGTTGTTGTTGTTGTTGTTGTTGTTGTTGTTCGCGTTGTTGTTGTTGTTGTTGTTGTTGTTGTTGTTGTTGTTGTTGTTGTTGTTGTTGTTGTTGTTGTTGTTGTTGTTGTTGTTGTTGTTGTTGGCTGTCGTCGTCGTCGTTGTCGTTGTCGTCGTCGTCGTCGTCGTCGTCGCGGGCCTGAGGCTGAGCTGCTGCGGCAAGGCAGTGCACACGGCGTGCGCGCGGCCGATGCAGGGCAGCACTTGCCCGCTGTGCCGCTCGGAGCACGTCCCCGCGCTCTGCAGGCTCCGGCTGCCCGAGCACCTGGCGGCGGTGGGCCGGATGGTGGAGGATCGGGGCGTGGCTGTTCCTCTCGGCTTTCTCCTCCGACGCCTCCATCCTCCATCCTCCCTCCTCAAGTCTCCGTCCTCCGCCCTCCATTCTCCTCCATCCTCCTCCATATACTGTTCTTCCTCCTTCTCATCCTCATCCTCCTCCCCTATCCTGTTCCTCCTCCGTTCTCTATCCTCCATGCTCCACCCTCTCTGCTTCACTCTCCATTCTCCATCCTCCACCCTCCATGCTCCATCCTCCGTCCTCCGTCCTCGATCCTCCATCCTCCATCTTCCATCCTCCATCCTCCCTCCCACATGTGCATGCTCCATCCTCCGTCCTCCGTCATCCATCCTCCATCCTCCATTCTCCATCCTACATCCTCCATCCGCTCCTTCCCCTTCCCCTCCTTACCGTCGCTCCACTCTCCAGCGTCCGCCCCCCGGCATCCTCCCTCCCCTTTCCCCCTGCCTTTTTTAGCCCCTCGCCCCCGCCTCTCTCGTCCCCTCCCCCCTTCAAGCCCCTCACCCCTCCCCTGTCGCGCCCTTCACTCCCTCCCCCTTCTGCCCGTCTCCCCTCCCCCCTTGTCTCCCCCTTCCCCGCCCCCTCTCTGTGCCCCCTTTGTGGGATTAGCGCAGCGTTTTTGGCCCTCTTGCGGTGCTGTCGCACGTCCTCCCCGTCCTCCTCGTCCTCGTCCTCGTCCTCGTCCTCGTCCTCCTTCTCCTCCTCCTCCTCCTCCTCCTCCTCCTCCTGTCCTCTTCGTCCTTCTGCTCGTCCTCTTCCTCCTGCTTCGCCTTCTCCTCCTCCTTCTGCTTCTCCTTCTGCTTCTCCTTCTCCTTCTCCTTCTCTCCTCCTTGTCCTCCTCTCCCTCTTCCTCCTCCTCCTCCTCCTCCTTCTCCTCGTCCCTTCCTCGTCCTCGCCCTCCTCCTTGTCCTCGTTCTCCTTCTCCTACTCCTCATCCTCCTCGTCCTCCTCGTCCTCCTCCGTCTCGTCCTCCGTCTCGTCGTCGTCCTCCTGCTCCTGAGTCTTACTCCTCCTCCTCCTCGTCCTCGTCGCCGTCCTCGTCGTCGTCCCCGTCGTCGTCGTCGTCGTCGTCGTCGTCGTCGTCGTCGTCGTTCTCGTCCTCGTCCTTGTTCTCGTCGTCGTCTTCGTCGTCCCTCTCGTGTCCTCCGCGTCTCCCTCGTCGAGGAGGCGGAGCAGGCCGCCGTCGCGGTGACGCTGCCGGAGGCCCTCAGGGATATCGCCCCGCTGCTGCGGCACCTGATCGTGGAGGTGCGCGAGTCGCAGTGCGCGGGCTTCGTCAGGGACCTGCGCCTGCTCTTTCCTCGCCGTTCTCCCTAGATGTGATCGCGCTGCGAAGCATTTTCGACGGGAGGTTTTGCGGCCGTTTTCGCCCCCCTGGGGCACTTTCTGGGCCCAGGGACCGTCAAATACGACTCGGGATGATCAGCCGATCCTGGGGAAAGGGTTGCGTTTTACGGGGACATTGTATGGAACAAATCAACACATCGCATGTCTGGGTCCTCCTCTCCTTCTCCTCCCTTTCCGCCGCCTCCTCCTCGTCCTCCTCCCTCCCCCCTCCTTCACTCCCTTTCTTCCTTCCTCTCTCGTCCTCCTCCTCCCTCCCTCCTCCCGCTTCACTCATCCCTCCCTCCCTCCCTCCCTCCCTCCTCCTCCTCTCCCCCTCCGCCTCTTTCTCCTCCTTCTTCTCTTCCTCCTCCTCCTCCTCCTTCATTTCCTTCTCCTCCTCCTCCTCCTCCTCCGTTCCTCCCCCGCTCCTCCTTCCCTCGTCCTTCGTCGCTCGTCGCTCGTCCCTCGTTCCAAGCCTCCCTCCTCCCCCCCTCCTCTCTATCCCTCCTTCCTCCCTCCTTCCCTCCCCCTCCCTTCCTTGCCCCCTCGGCGGATGGCGGCCTCGCGCTCTGAGCTCGCCCGATCTGGCCTGCCAGCGAGCGGTGCCGTGCCGAGCTGGACGCGGCTGGTGTCGGCGGGCCTCCCAGCCGCCTCTCCGTCCTCTCCGCTGTCGGCCACCTGCCCTGTCACTGCCTAATGCCGCCCCTGCCCGGATCGGCTTCGGCTCTTTTCCTGGCATCTCTCGGACGTGTGCTTTTTTCCTCGGCGGGGGCCATCGAGTAGCATCCTGGATCATCGAGCCAAAAAGCACTCACGAAACTGACAAATGCACGGGACATGGGCGTCCGAGCGACGGCAAGTTTTCACACCCAGCATTTGGCTTGGCCTGTCTGTGGTCTTTGTGCTGCTCCGCATGCGCCACGGCACCCGCAGGTCGTACGCGAGACCGCTGGAAGGTGCCGAAGACCTCCGAAGGCCTCCGAAAGGCTCCAAATGTTAGCCAGCGTGGACCCCAACCAGTAAGCTATTGCACGAGATCGCGAGGCGGCCACGGGCGGCAACGTGGTGAAGACTCGGTGGACCCACCCAGCGCACGAGGTTGCCACGAGGCGGCCACGGGGCGGCAACGTGGAACATCCTCTCCAGACCCATTCAATTCCCTAGTGACAAACAAGAACTCCTGAGTGATCGTTTTCCGATTCATTGTTTTGCCGATCGGCGCGGGCCCTCGTACCCCCTCCCCCCTCAATGGAGCATATTTTGGCCGTTTTTGGCGCCTCTTTCAGGCAGGTGGAGTCTCCCCTACGGGACGCACTGCTGTCAACAGTCGCACTAAGCAGAGGTCCGGAGCCAGACCCCCTCCCCCTCTCCCGCCCCTTTCTCCCGCCCCTTCCGCCCACGATCGAAACGCCGAATAAGAAAACGTTCACTGAGTGCAAGCAGAGCCCCCAAGCGGAAGCACTGCAAAGGGAAACACATCATAATGACATCCGAAGGCATCAACATAAGCCTCCCGAAGGCCTCCCGAGATCTCCGAGATGGCCTCTCCAGGCCCGCAGGAGCTCCACGCCCTAGAGGCCGCGGCGCGCGCGAGACCGCTGGAGCGTGCCGAAGACCTCCGAAAGCTCCCGAAAACCACCCAGAAAACATGTCGTCGTCGCCGTCGTCGCCGTCGTTGTCGTCGTCGTTGTCTTCGTCGTCGTCGTCGTCGTCGTCGTCGTCGTCGTCGTCGTCGTCGTCGTCGTCCCCGTCCCCGTCGTCGTCGTCGTCGTCGTCGTCGTCGTCGTCGTCGTCGTCGTCGTCACAGCGGCACCCGAAGGCATCAACAGAACCAAAAATAGCCTCCCGAAGGTCTCCCAAAGACACCTCCGAGGGCCTCCCCGAGACCGCAGGAGCTTGACACCCTGGAGGTCGCCTGCGCGCCGGAGGACGCCGCGGCGCACGCGGAGCTGCTGGCGCGGTCGCGCGCCGCGCGGGGGCGCTTCGAGCACAACCTGCGGAGCCTCGGCCGACGCTCCGGCGAGGTGCCGCCTGTCGTCACCACCCACCACACCACCCCAGCCCAACCCGAAGGCCTCAATTTGCCCTCCGTTTTCAGTGGGGGGGGTCCAGGAACATCGAAAAAACACATATGGAGCCCATACCCCCCCCAACCCGAAATTCGGGTCTTCGGGTTGGGTTGGGGTGGTCTGGTAGGTAGTCATGTCGGCGGCCCCGCGGCGGCCCCGCGGCGGCCCCCCGCGGCGGCCCCGCGGCGGCCCCGCGGCGGCCCCTCGGCGGCCCCTCGGCGGCCCCTCGGCGGCCCCTCGGCGGCCCCTCGCGGCGGCCCCTCGGCGGCCCCTCGGCGGCCCCTCGCGGCGGCCCCTCGCGGCGGTCCCCCGCGGCGGCCCCTCGCGGCGGCCCCTCGCGGCGGCCCCATCGGCGGCCTCGGCCGCCGGCCTTCGGCGAGCCGCCCGGCGCTGCATGCCGCATTTTTTTTTTTTTTGTTTTTTTTTGTTTTTTGTTTTTTGTTTGTTTTTTGTG